TCTGGAGAGGCCAGCACATCATAGCAGGGGCATGTGTCAGGTTGACTGCTCACATGTTGAGCCAGGAAGCAGATGCAGTTAGATGGAAAGAGAGACTAAGGCTCACGATCCCCTCTGAGGACCTACAGGCCTTCTACAAGGCCTCAGCTCCCACAGCTTCCATCACTCACGGTAGCACCAGCCTGGCACCAAGCTTTTAACACATGATCCTTTGGGGACACTCATTAAACCATAACAAGCAGCATTGTCCAAAAGGACAATCTTAAGACTGTAAGAGCTTTACAGTATAATTTAAAGAGAGAAGCACCAAGGACTGAGAAGCTCAGTGAAGGTCAGTAGAATGAAAATCACTGGAATATAGGTATGGCTGAACCTCACTGATGACCAAGTTATAGTACTTTTTCTAAAATTCTGAGCTGAAAGAAGGAAAGTTAATGAGGAAATGCAGGAAAACCAAGAAGTAGAATGAAAATCAGCAGAATGTCACACAATTGAAAATTAATGAGTTTTGAGTTTGAAGGATGAAATTGTGTAATGAGGTAACAGGAATGCTGAGGGAGAATGTGAGAGTTTTCGATGTTTGGTCTAGACATTCAGGCATCAGGTTATTTTAAGCATTGGGCATGTTTATTCATTTTGTTTGGGGCTTTAACATTTCACTAGTTTCTTTTCTTGTGTATTTTAGTAGATTTCTTCTTGCTCCTCACATACAGTGTAAGAGATATTTTGTATCCCTTTGTTACTCCTCATACCGAGTGCTCTGATAATCTGAATCCACTTGTATGCTATGATTGTTGTGAGAATTAAATGAACAGTGACTGGGATATATTAAACACTAAATAAAAATCATTTAAATTTTTAAAACTTCTGTCTTCCATATGTTCTATGGAAAATTTCTTTGGAACAAGGTGATGCCTTTACTATTTTAGTGTTCTCCCATGAAATGTTGGGTCAACATCACGATAGATAAAGTTAAGAGAGGTTTGAGTGCCATGGTTTTATGAAAGACTGATTCTTAGCTCAGTTTCCTGCAATTATTGTGCTTAGTAGATTAAGTATACACCATAAACCCAGAACTTCAAAGGTTGAAAAGAAATACTGGATTCCCTCCATTCCTCTGTTTCTTCTGTTGGCTAATGCAATTCTCTGCTTCCTTTCTCCATGTCTACCCTCAAAGGAATGCCAGAGCAAAGGCCTTATAAGTTGTCCCATTTTGCTATTCAAATGATGGCTTCATCTATTATGGAAGGAACAACCCTAATTTCAGCCAAGTCAATTTGGAAGCAAGATAAATGGCCTCCAGTACTCTTTTCTTGATAATATTTGGATGTCTTTTATACTTCTCAGTGAAAAGAAAATTTATTGCTTGGCAAACCAGGCCAACAAAATTTTTCAACAACTTTATTTAGAAGTGAATTATTCTCCTGAATAGACTCATTCTTTGCTAGAATACAAAGCGATCTTTTCATGCATTTCCCAACTAATCACCCTACTTGCATTTACCTAAGTTTCCACTAATGTCATTTAATAAAACAAAATGTACTTTTTCCTAATAGAGGTTTCAGACTCTCCAATATAACATCTCTATTACAGTTCGTGCTCTGAGTTCCTTTTATCTAAGTAATAAATCTGCAATTTGTGAAACTTGTTCCCAAACTTTAAAGCGGTTTCCCTGTTCTTTCTGGCATAGAATTTAGGTTTCATTTCCTTCCAAATAAATTTTTCCAATGGAGAGAATAGGGTCTAGGAATAGTTACTATATTGTAAATTTTAAAAATGGAAAGTTTTGTCTAGATGTTACTATATGGCATAAATCTATCATTCATTTCATCAGCCATGTTTATGACTTTTAAACTTAAGCCCTAAAAGGAAAGAAGGGAATAGAATTAATATGAGAAAATGAAAAAATGGAAACAAAGTCTTTGTAAATAGGGAGGGAAGGAGGGGTTGAAGGGGGGGATGGGGAAAAAATAAGAACCAAGAGAGACTATGTAAAGGTGCAAATTTCCAATGATGAATGTCATTATATTGTATACCTAAAATGTACCAAAAAATTAATTAAAAAGAAAAACTTAAGCCCTGAAGTTAAATGAAGGCTACATTTACTCTCTATGTCATGGCAATGATATGTTTGTAGAAATATTTGTGTTGTGTTGGTGGTTTTGGCAGATCCCTTTGCAATGACAAGTGAAACTGGAAGAAGTCCATGTCAAGATCAGACAAAAGATTGGTCAATTTATAAGTGGCTTTCAAGTTAGAATTTTTAAGGAGCAATGAAAATAGTACAAAGACAAAACCTTTCTTACAAAATATACTAAGAATAAAGAAAATTACATATTTCAGAGATTCAAGCTCCACCATCTTCTTCATTAAGAAGAATAAACAAACAAAACTAGTTTGTTCTAGAAACTGACTTTTGTTGATAAGATGAAAGGAAAAAGTGTTTTGACCTGTTCTTGCCTACAACAGTCTCAAATACAGTCTCAGAATTACAGTAGATAGAGTGAAAAATACTGATTCTCAAAGAAATCAAAGAGACAAACTAAAATTTATAGTGCGAAATTTGCTATTGATAAGATCAGAGTATCAGCTGTCCAGAGAAATCTACGTGCCTAAGAGCAGCTTGTTTAGGAATCATGCCAGCTAAATATAAATTTTCTGATACTGAATCTAACAGATTGCATGCCTTCCTACCCTACTTTATGTAACCATACAGAAATCTGAAGTTTGCTTGAAGTTATGTTTCTGGGCTCTGAATAACATTCTTTCACTTCCATGGTCTTTGAACATTATCAAAACTTTCTGAAAGAGATATTCCGAAGCTACTTTAATACTGGTTTTTCACTTTCAAGGAGACGTACAAGAAACTTATGTAAAATTGTTGCATAAGCATGATTAAAAGTGCAAGGAGAATATTTCCTCTATATTCAGAATTATATGAATAGAATCAAGGATTGTCATTAGCCACATAGAACTGAAAGCAGGGCACATGATCAATATTTATTTTGGAGTAAATACATTAGTTTCATTATAAAAGTTATAGAATCACATGCAGAAAAGTTGAAAAAGAAAGGGAAAAAACAGTTACCATCAATTCTATACAATCACATAATGTTGTGGTGTTTTACTTTTTTCTTATTAATAAAAATTATTTATAAAACTAAAAATCAGATTTCTTATTAAAATTATCTTAATTTTTACAAATGTAATTTAAAAATACATAACCTATAGAAAGGTAGATTTAATTTATAATATAACAAAGATATATTTATGGGATAGTAAGTGGTAACTTACTGTATGGTATTCAAGGTTTTTGTGTTCTACCTGCTCAGTTCTTCCTATAACTGTACTTTATAGTATAAGTAATCCAAACATAATTAAAATGGTATCCAGCTCTAAGTGCTTTCATAGTGCCAACTAAAATATGTTTTAGAACAAAACAGTAATAGATATCTAATAAAGTGTAGAGGGAAATGCAGCCGATAGAAGTCATTTGAAACACCTGGATTCATGAAAACCAGTCCACTTCTAATATAGCCATTGGTTTTCCTGCAGAGACAGAAATACTATTCATTCTCTTTTTCAAAGGAATTCATTCTAAATTGAATTACCTTTCCTGACAATATTCCTTTCATCAGGCATCTTTCAGATCTCTGCCTGCTCTTCAATAGGGTAGGAATCATCTGTCTTATGACCCTGTATTCTCAGAGACCTTCTAGTGAATGAATTTAATAAATCAGTTCATGAAACTCTGTTACTCACCTAGAGAACAGTGGTTTTCTAGAACAGTTGCCATAGCTCAGAAGGGGGCCCTGTGGGGATCAGGTCAATAAAGGTGCTCTTTGGCTTAGTGAGACCGGGAAGTATTTTTCAACTCATGCCAAATTATAGTATCCCTATAATAGCTGAGATTATACCTTTCCATTGTTATCCTTCTATGAAGTCTTTAATGCCTAATACTTTTGATACTGTGACATGAAACAGAAAGTTGCTGAATGTCTACCATTTTCCATGTTGGAAAATAAATTTTGTTTTACATGTAGAAAAAGTTCTATCCTTTTTAGCTTTCTTCTAGCTCATGTTTAAGTAATCAATTTATTTAACCTATCCAAATTCTGTTTATCTCTACAGATAACTACAGCACAACTTAACTTGCCCAACTTGCATATTAGCATTTGTGTCCTTATATCTTTTATTCCTAAGTAAGAATATATTATTTCTAGCACAAACATATTTAATAAAAGGATTGAGAGTCAGTTGAGCATCAAAGCTCTGTAGTGAGAGATTATACATCTCTACTTTCCATATCCGTGACCATTTGAGTAACGAGAATCTTTTTATCAACTAGCTACTTAATGGGAAAATAAAAATGTTTACATTGTAAAGATTTAAGATTTGTCATATTGTGGTGGTGAGTTTTGCATTTTTAGGCTATTTTTGCTACAGTTAAATTGAGACTTTAAATATAAACCTTTCAAAGGAAATGAGACTGACAGCAAGATCACTAAATTTTGGCTTTTAATGTTTTCTTTTGCCAATAGGTTGCTGTTTTAATCATCCTTTATTTATTACAGGACTGCAATTTCTGATAAAAAGGCTCCTTTCAGATTTGAAAAGAATTTAAAAATGATCCAGGAAGCTGAGATGAATTTTCTAAAGGCTAGTCAATAATTGTTTTGACATCATTTATTTCTCTAAGAACATTTGTTTTGCAATCCTTCAACAGACAGCTAAATAATATTGTTTAAGTTAAAAGACCACCATTTGTGGATGTTTTGGGTAAATGTTTTTAATGTTACAAAGGAATAATTGCTCTCCTAAAGAGGGTATAATTCTATAGCTACAAAACATATAGTTAGGCCCATACAGTATCTTACATGTTGGGGACTGAAGTGTTCCCGCAGGAAAAATTATCACTCTTCCATCTGAAGATGTGTTGAGAAGTGCCTGCTCACTCCCTGTGGTTTCCCTGGTGCTAATGTCAATGCCTTTTGTTGTAGGCAGAATACTTCTATGAATTCCTGACCTTGCGCTCCTTGGATAAAGGCATTATGGCAGATCCAACAGTCAATGTCCCTCTGCTGGGAACAGTTCCTCACAAGGCGTCAGGTGGGTGGTCTCTGCTTTGGAGAAAAGTTTACACTTAAAATGTAACAGTGAGGAATAAAATATTTAAGATCCAAATGTCATCCATCAGAGGGATTATGGAGTGTTTGTCTGAAGAGATCTGCTGAGTTTAGGGGAACTTAGTTATTATCCTTTAGGCAAAGGATCAAGATGTGAGTGAAGAAATGATGGCTTTTATAGTTTTCTAAAAATTCAGAATAGCCCCAGCCCATACCCAGTTCATAAATTATTTCAGATTTATAAAAAAGGAAGAAAGAACAAAAAATAAAAATATTTGGTGAGATATATCCAGTCAATAAGTGTGGATTCATGTAGTGCACATAAATGTGGCAAAGATTCAAAGTAAATGATTGGTGGGCAAGGCCCAACAATCACTAGTACTACAAAAACAAACAAAACCAAAGTAAATGATAGGGAGCAAGTGGGATAAGTCCAGAAAAACTCCCCTAAACTAGCATAGTATTAGTAGGAATTTGAGGGAAAGAGCAGACATAAAAATGAGGGAGAAAAAGATTCAAGCTTTCAGATCTAATCATCTTTCTCTGCTAAGAAAATAATAGTACATGGTACTTGTTTCCAGCTTTTCTTTTTCCACTCACATTTGTTTCCACTCACAATTTGAGTACTTTGAGACCAGAATTACAGCACCATTTTACAAATTTTAAAATGAAGACTTGTGAGGTTTAACTGACTTGCCCAAAGTCAAATATTAGTAGTAAGCAGTGAAATTTTTTTTTTTTTTTTGGTACCAGGGATCGAACTTGGGATCTTGTGCTTGCGAGACAGGCACCAGAACCACTTAGCAAATCCCCAGCAGTAAGCAGTGAAATTGAGACTAGAGCCCAGGATTCCTAATTTTTAGAAAGATACAGAGATCCTTGTATGAACATGCTCATATATTTCCTTCTGGTCTTCTTTAATGAATGTATATTTTAATACAATTATAGTAATGTTAAATATATGGTTTTGTACCATGGTTTTTTCCTTTTAACATTTTACCATAAGCACTTGTCTGTATCATTTATAGATTTTTCTAAAAATTATTTTTAAATGGCTTTATAAGGCATTAAAATGCCTATTAGACTATTATATTTTATGGATATACTATTTTATTTTACATATTCAGTTATTGTTTGTTCATGAGATTGGGTTTTTTGGGGGTTTTTTGTTGTTGTTTTGTTTTGTTTTGTTTTGGTACGGGGGATCAAACTCACGACCTTGCCCAAGGCAGGTGTGGCACCACTGAGCTAAATCCCCGGCCTGAGATTGTTTTTAGAGTTTGCATGCTACCAGTATCACAATGAACATCCTCTTAAGACTGATAGATGGGGATTTCACAAGGGCAGGAGCCTTACTGGTCTTAGTCACCACAGCTTTCTAAACTAGGCCTAGCAAAGAACAGGCACTTGGAATAATTAATTGTTGGATTAATGTGCATACACAATCTTGATGCTAATCTCATTATTTTGTTAAAAAATTTTGGAGGTGGAATTATTGTGTAACAGGTTATGAACAATTAACTTTTTAAAAAATCTCTTAAACAATTTGCCAAAATACCATTATTACTTTCCAGAAAGTTTGTACCCACTTGTACTCTGGCTAGCAGTGTGAGAGAGTGCCTGTCTTACTGTAATCTCATGTAAATAGGTTATTAATCATGCAACTACTTTGCTAATTTAAAAAGTGAAAAGTGATTTTCATAGCATTCTTTCAATCTGATTTTTTAATATTCTTATTGAATTTTTAAATTCTTATTGAAGAATTTTAATTCTTTTGAATTCTTATTGAATTTTTAAAAACTTCTTGAATCTATTAAATAATGTAAAATACCTGTTTTCCATGCTTACTTTTACACTGGGATTATAGTGTTTTTCTTGGCTTGCAAAGTTTGTTATACATAAAATACTGCATTTAGAAAATTCATTTGTGAGAATCAGCCCATGTCCCAGCAACAATCCACTGGACCCCCACCCCCGCTCCTCTGTACAGCCACCTGGTTCCACACTGCAAAGACGCAGAGGACACCAGACCACCAGACCACGGTACTGAGTCCCGCTGCTCCCGGCCCAGAGGTAGGGGCTTCTGAGCCGCCTTCCCACCGC